GAAAACGCATGTGTAACAGTATTTTTAGATCTGTGTGTGTTCGGTGTTAAAGAGACAGCCGTCTAATAAACGTGCTGCCTATCATTAATGTTAATCAAAGAACAAAAGAAAATCATTAACTGACTGAATATCTTTCGTAAATTTAATGAGGATTAATCAATATTTTATTTATGAAAAGAAAACTATACAGTGTTTTTAAACTTTTGATTTAAATTTCTGTACCTGACATATTTGTTCAGTTTTATTTATTTATGCTATTGCTAATTAATTTGTTTACTTGTCTTTAACAATTTAATGTTTGAAATTTATATTAGTCTAGTTGTTTTTTTTTATAAAACCATAGACATAAAACAGAATAAATATGTTTGACATCTAAATATTTGACTTAAAATTTGTTTAATGGATTTTTTTATCTTATTGGAATCGGAATTAGGAATCGATAAGAATCTAAATCGATAAGCAGAATCGGAACTGGAATCGATAAAATTCAAACGATACCCAACCCTACTGATACTACAAACTTCTCACTGAAACTACAACCAAAAATCTTTTAATCTGTTTACTCACCTTTATGCAGCGGAACTCCTTCTTCCACGGAAAAAGCAGCAAGTTGGTACAGATGGTTTCCAGTGTTGCAAAGGCTGTCTCCAATGTCCGCAAGTTTGCGCTCCTTTGAGTCCTCAGGGAGTTCTCAGCAATTTCATAGAACCGAATCATGCGAAAGCGCTGCCCTGGATCAGGCTGGTAAGAGCCTAACAGTGCTGTTGCAGTAGAAATCAGTGCCTCCTCAGTCTTGGCTCCTTGCTTATCTCCTCCGGCTCTCTCCTCAAGCCGATTCTCCAAAGACGCCACATACCTGCGGAATAGATCTTCTCGCAACTTGGCATCCATTGGTGGCAGTGGGCTGCGTAGCATGCAACCTCTTATCCTACAATTCAGGAGTTTCTTTAAACGGGACCCCTTGCCATCTCAAGACCTCTCTCCCACTGGACAGGCCTGGGACAATGGTGCAGTGTGGTGGGAAAAATCAGCAAGCTGCAATCATCCTCCAAAGGAGCTATATGGAATAATGAAAGTGAAGATGTGATTGGTTTAATTTGGGCGTACGCCTTGCCCAGGGCTTGTAATGGGCATCTCTGGGTTCCTCATTAGCCAAAAGACCTCAAAAGGAGGAACATGACATGAGAAGGTGGTTGATTTGGGTGCTGGATGGAAAGTCCTCAACTTATTAAGCCCTCACTGCCAGGCTTTTCCCTCTGCAGTAGGTTGAAGATCAGGGTTTGCAGAGAGGAGCACACATTAAAAACACCATGTCCAATACTGCCAGCTGCTGCAACGACAGAAGAACAAAATCTGTTTGAAAAGCACCACTCAGGCTGCAGTCTAATAAGTGAGGACTTGCCTCAGTCTCTTTGCCTGCAATCATATAGCCAGCTCATAATGCATGCACACATCACAGAAAGACCAACGCAGACCAGACCATGAGAATGAAAATTACATATCCGTGATGGTCTAAATTATAGTTAGGCCTAGATGAAATCTGTTTTAAATGTTCTGTTTTTTTTTTTTAATGATAATGTGTGGATAATTCTTGGAATGGATTAAATTTTTTACGGGTTCAACTAGAGATACACTGATTGCAATTTTCTTGGCCGATTCCGATTTTTTTTGCAAGTGTGACCTGCCGATACCGATTTTTGCCAATTCCGATTTTCATTCTAAGAACTATATTTGACAGCATATACAAACAAAAATCTACTTTTTTTTTTTCAATGCAAAAATAAATAAATAAAATAAAACAAAAATAAAATAAATAAATAAATAAAATAAAAAAATAATAATAAAAGAAATGATTAAACATTACAATTTCCCCCAATCTGGACTAAGTTACAGATGTTCTCTGACTTGACTCTCAAAAGTGCTCTGTGACTGGAAAGAGGTAGAAATGAGTTGCTGTAACAAAACAGATGCCATTTCCCACTATGTTTATAAATGGGCATTTTTTTCTGACCTTATTAAATGTATGTGTCATCTTTCACATCAAATTCTTACATTGTTTCAAATAATTCAGCTAGACTAATAAGAAAATGTAGAGTCGTCGCCATTCAAATGAAATCAGTATCAACAAACTCCATCTTTCCATGGCTGCATCTGAAGTGGCATTAGATGTATTTACACAGACTGTTTAATGAAGTTGAGAGGTGCCATAAGATTGTTATAAGATTGTTATTAAATAATTTTTTGAACAAACGAATAAGAAATGCTGGGACAAATGCAATGACACTTTTAAATATGAACCCAAACCACCAGTAGATGGCAGCAAATGACTGTTTGAATGAGTGAGTCATTTAGTCATTCATTCAACCAATTCGTTCAAACGGCTGATTTATTCAGAAATGAGGCAAGTCTTTATGAATGGCTCACTGAATCCTTGACTCACTGGATTCGTTCAAAACTTAATTCAGTAATGAAACACCACTGTGTTGCTTAGACAAACAACAGTTCTGCTGTGGCTTTGATTGGAACGATTTTCATTTGCGAAATTGAGCAAAAACTCAAAATATAAGTCACTTAATTTTAACTTCTTGTTTATTGAACTACTATTGTATAAAATCAGTGTCTCATTGCAATCGTGCTGATATTCGGGGAAACATCTTGGTTGTGTAATACTTACCTATATCATATATTATAAATATATATTTTTTTCTAATATAGTATGCTTGCATAACTTTCTGTGAGTGCTGTTGCGCTCATTTGTTTTCATTTGTCTCTCTCTCTCTCACTCAGGCTGCGTGAGCCTCATCTGGCACGATCACCAATACATTATCAGTCGCCGTTTACATTGAATGCAATAAAATCACAATCATTCTCGCATAAAAATTGTTGGTGGCCAAGTTTTAGTGCTTCCCTAGTTATTTCTGTTATTGACATTTTAATCAGGTTTCTTGTCCCGTTGGGCAAGTAAACTTCTCTCACACTTGCCCCTTTAAAAATGTTCTTGTCCCAGACAAGTGTTGATCGAGCCCTGTGGTTCCCCCACGGTTTACTTTGGCCCTACACGCATCTCAAGCTGCGACCTTTGTGTCTTCTTCACTCACAGTGAAGAACTTTCATGCCGACGACATGTTTACATGCGGATGTGAGCGCAGCTGTGACATCAAAACGGGCCGGCTGGGAATCGGCAAGAGGTGAGGCTGACCGGGCCATCACCGGTCCGGGCTGATCACGTGGAAAACCGTCTGATTCCGGTCTCTGGCCGGTCAATCGGTGCATCTCTAGATTCAACTGAGAGAAATGTGTGAGAGTTTGCATCCTGCTAGTAGATGACATAATACCATTTTGGGAATTTTTTTTATCCTTTTTTTTGTTTTACAAGCAACATATACACAACAAATGCTTCATTATAATAAAGATGATGAGTCTTTTTTATGGAAATTTAAAAAATAAAAAAAACTACTGCCATGGATGTTTGAGTTAAGGGAACCAGCAGGACAGCCAGCAGCGAAGCGCTTGGGACTGTGGTACTATCAGACAATTAGTATTTACTGCTCAGGTGATCGGCTCAAAAATGTCTGCGCAAAACCGCGTTCCCATGAGCAAAGATGGCAGCAAGCAGGCCATGCACAACAGTACATCCAGGGGGTGGGTCCTGCATTCATTGAGATGAATGGGAATGCTAACAGACAGCTTTCTCCAGGTATTATATAGATGTCCTTGGCTGAAATCATATGAATTTTCAATTGTGTGAATGACAGGAATTCAGAACTTTTCCACAAAGCTCTGCAGGCACAGATTTCCTTCTGGACCTGCCAATAGTGCACGGATAATATGGGAGTGTGCATGGCTAGATAATGCAGATATTGTGGACTGTTTTGCAATGAGGCCACATGAAGCACTTTATTCTTCCAGATGGTTAGACTGCCAACTGAACACTTGCACAGTATTCTAACTTCAGCCTTTACCTTCAATGATGCAGGCAGTCATTTCAAGCTGCTGAATTCACACCAACTCAAAACATCAGGCATGTACTTTATCAGAGGGGCCTGTCAGTACATCATAATATCGTAATCACAACATCTTACCGAACATGGTAAAGCTAAAAACTCCATCTAAACAAATCAGGGTTCGCAGAGAACACGGCAAAGTGTTAATAACTAATTATTTTCTATCTGCATTCCATTGCTAGTGACGTGTGTTAGCCACACAGCTAATCTGACAGTCTCCTTTACTTAACGTTACAGTAAATAAATCTGTCAACGCAGCAGTCAGGCCGATCTGTTCTCACAAATAGTGTTTTTTTTTTAAGGGACAGACATTAATGAAGTCGTTTACTCTACTCTAACTCGTTTCAACCTCATCTTTGACAGATATCAGCTGCAGCTAGCACAGCGGCTAACATTAGCGCAGTTCCAGGGCCTTGTAAATCCACACACCACGCAATTTAACCGTACACCGTCCAGCAATTACTTTTTAATTACCTCAATAAGAACACGACGTGAATGTAAACATGCCCGTTCAGTGTCATGCAGTGCTGGTTAGATCCATTAACGAGCCGCCTTCCTCCCCATCATCCAGCGCCTCTTACCTTCATGTTCCGCTGGAAATCCCCACCGCCGCACTGCGCATGCGCCACGCTGCCTCCCCTGCGCTCCCGAGGCTGCAGGACTAGCGTTGGAACGTTCGTTTGAATCAGCGAGTCGGTTCGCCTTCACGATTCGATTCATTTGAGTCATCGCTCAAAAGAGTTCCCAGAAGTCTCCGCGCTGCACATGACGCCTTCTTTTCTGAGCGTTAAATAAATGTTTGCTCAAACGCCGTGCTGTTTTCAGTTACCTTACGCGCATTACGTTTTTAAGTGTATGAGTCAATCAGTGACAATGTGCTCCAGTTTGTTGCAATCGTTCCAGCTGAGACCTTTTTTTTTCTTCTGTAAAATATCCTGTTGTCTAATATCTCACAGTTTCACTCTCGAAAATGCTCTACCTCGCAGTCGAGTGATTCATTTTCACATTCACGCCTTCCGAATCATTGAAAAGATCCGGTTCATGTCCGTGATTCGCTCAAGAATCGGATACCACTAGCCATGTCGCACTCATAACTCTTCATTAAAAGACTACACGCACACTCTAGGTACTACATCGCAATCATTTGTTTGCCCACTACGATTGGTGTTGTCATTAGTCAGCTAAGGCTGTGATAATGTATTTCCGCATGCGATCAGCTGAGTTGTTGCTCCTCCCTTGCCAGCAGTGAATCTCGCCGGAGTTCAAGAAGACGGAGCCCAGCGCAGCAGACATGGCTATGCTCACAACAGATCCTCAAACTGATGTGATCGATGCTGAATATGAGGACTTCCTCTGCCCCGTGTGTCTGGAGATATTTATCTCTCCGATGACCACAGACTGCGGACATACGTGAGTATCCTTGCGGTCTCGTGCCTCACAGCAGTAACTTCTCGTTTGACATGTTGATTAGTTTCATGTTAATCAAGTTATCACGTGAAACCGACGTGCAGCCTCCATGCCGCGTAATTTAGTCTTAACATGACTGTGTCCAATAATCATTAATGAATGCAGTTGTGATGAGAGTTTCTCAAAAAAGAAATGGGTTACTTTCAGTTTTGCTTCTTGTGTACAAAACTTGTGCAGTGTGGCATGCTGGGAGTTGTAGTGCTCACCTAATTATGCCTTTGCTTGACAACACATTGTCCTTCTATGAATACTTTTTGTATGAATTTTAAAGCTCGTACATTACTGACAATCATAACACCAGTAAAATTGATTAAAAGAGAAATACCTTGATAAGTTATTGATAGCCTACCTTGTAGGGATGTAATGATTCACTCAACTCACGATTCGATTCGATTCACGATTTTGATTTCAAGATTCGATTCGGTTCACAATTTTTTTTTTTTTTACAAAATTAGATTTAAGACAAATTATTAATTAAATGTGTCCTTTTGTTATTGCTTGGACAAAATGCTCCACATTTCTTTGTCAAATTGAAATATAACACTATAATAATATACTACCCTACGACCTTGATAAGATACATCGACCAGTATTTGATTTATGGAGTAGATTATTACTTTAAATTGGGGAACATCTGACTTCAAGTGTGCATGTGCGTGTAGCATATATATATGTATGTATATATGTTTTAGTGAAAATATATCCTTTTCTTTTGGTCAGATTCTGTGAAAGCTGCCTTAAGGAGTGCTTGCGGCCTCAGAAACCTGTGTGTGCAGTCTGCAGGTCTGACCTACACAAGTGGAAAAAAGCAGATGATGTACAAAATGAGATGAAAAGATCAATCGGAAAGTGCAAAGGCTGTAAAAATGAGGTGTGTGGTTAAACTGTTATATTTAAATGACATGCAGTGATATTTATAAGTGCTTATTCTAGCCAAGAACCATCGTCAGACCGGTATATAATCAATCAATCAATCATTAGGGACATGTGAAATAGATTGTACTACAGTAATAGATTAATGGGTAAGATAAAACAAACTTGAATGGTTGTGCAGGGAATATTGAAGAAATGAGTGAGAATTAGGAGTGTGATACTGACAAAAAAGTATCTTAATATTTTTTGGGATTTTGTCAGTGACGATAATTACACAATATTTTGCTGTCTGTGTTTTTGTGCTTGTGCCTTGGTAGATTTAGCCCTGTTGTGGACAACTGACTCCCAGAGAGCTTCATATTCTTCATATTCTGTGTGGTCATTAGTTCACAGTAGTGACAGATATTAACTTTGTCTTTGAGGGCAACATTTGCCCCACTAAATTGATTTCCAGGGCATGTTTACCTTTTCAGTGCATTTTCTAGACGGACAAATATGACTGCTGCACTCGCGTCACACAAAAGATGTAGCCATGCAAAGTTAAAACAGTTTAAACGTTTAGAAAACGCTGCATTGTTTTGTTCAGTGCGCCCTCCTGTTGCCTCAGAAGACTAGCCAAAAGTTTCCATAAGACTTATTTAATCTGCATATAACACATAAGGAAGTATTTGTTTAAATTTTATTTTGTGTTTGACTGTTAAAACAAAAAGAATATGTTTGTCTCAATAAATTGGGTAAATTAAAAACTGTTTTAAAAAAGGTTATAAAAATGTCAATAATTAATGTTTACTAACCCTAATAAATGTATGTGTCATCTTATATGTCAAATTAAACATTTAATCAATACATTCGATTAGAAAAATAAGACATTGTAAGGCTGTTAACAATCCAGAAACCAGTCTGAACAAAAGCCATCTTTACACTGCAGAAGTGGCACATGAACTGTTTCTTAAGTGGCATTTAGATGTATTTACACAGACTGTTTAATGCGGCTCAGAGGTGTCATAAATGCATTTACACTACAATTAAAGTTGCGTAATTAATATTATTTAAATAAAAATCTATTTTGAATTTTGAAATATGAAATGACAAATACAAACAAATAAATCATTTTAAACATGAAACTAAAAGTGCCAGTAGGTGGCGACAAGTTTTAATGAGTGAGTCTCTGAGTTAGGCCTGGGCGATAAAACGGTATCAATATTTATCGACGGTACTCCTTCATCGATAACGATAGAAAAAATGTTCGATATAGCGCACGATATAGGCACGTGATATGAGTGGCGCAGACAGCACACACAAACACATGCTGAAATGAGTGCTGTGCCTGCCTGTGACGAGGAGATTGTGAACAAAAAAATTATATTAGTCGAATTTAAAATTAAGGAAAAAAATGCATTTGAATGTTAGGAGTGCGTCAGGGAGCGTCGTCAGTTGCGTGAGATGTGGTGATGATGATGTAAGTGACGTTGTTGCATTTTAATGTTTTGTTAGTCTAGCCCACGAGACGCATTATTCATTCAAAATATTAGCGAAATATAGAAGCTCAATGCGGAGAAGATCTTGAATGGGTTAAAACCGAAACCAAGCCATTCACACAGAA